TTTTTGTGGTTGTGTGTTTGTTGTTCTGCTTGTAATTGCGTGTTGAGGTCCGGCGGGGAACACTGGGCGCGGATAGTCGTGGTTGAGGTCCGGCAGGGAACACTGGGCGTGGATGGTCGTGGTTGAGGTCCGGCAGGGAAGACTGGGCGTGGATGGTCGTGGCTGAGGTCTGGCAGGGAACACTCGGCATGCATGGTCGTGGTTGAGGTCCGGCAGGGAACACTGGGCGTGAATGGTTGTGGTTGAGGTCGGGCGGAGGACGACGAGGAGGAGAAGGAGAAAGCTGACATAGAATCTAACTACCCTCACCTGACAGGCGGGGAATAATGAAACAAACATCACACGTTGACATGAAAATGATCCAACCGAAGGGTCGCGTCATCCATCCAACCACCCCGGTAAACCAGAACGTCATGACTGTTGTGTGGTCACATATGACACAAGTAGAAGGGTTCAAAAAGAAACGCGGTGCCATCAATGGCGCTGATTCGGCGCTGACACCAAAAAAGAGTCCTCACTATTCAAGGTATCTCCTGAGTCACTGGGAGGTCTCAGGCTCAGGGTGATCCTTTTCCGAATTTATAGCCTGTGTGAGACTGTGGGAAATTCTTCAAGCGATCGTTTGTGGCGGACAAATTAACTTATATACCTGCCATTGAAAGGTTTGACGATTTGCAAATGATATTTCAAGCTGAGGTTGCACATGTGCACATTGTAATCTGTGTAAATTGTAACTGCGCGTTGGCTTTGGCCCATTCTCTGCATGCACATGTTGGTATGTTTTTCGGACCAAAAGCCCGGACCAGGCAACACCAGGTCATACTTCTCTCAAACGTCGCTTCGTTTTCACGCCTGGTTCCTTTAATTCATTCACCTCCTTGCTATCGTACCCTGTGGTTTCGACGAGGGTGTTCAAGAACTTGGCCAGGCTGAATCGGGACAACCTGTCCTGAGCTGTTCGATCCAAGCAGGTTTCTCAAAATAGGGGGACCCTTGCAAAGCACCCATCAGGCTCAGGGAATGTTAAACGCTCAGATCTCCCAGATGCCAAGGTGCCAAAGTTGGACGTTTTTGAGAGATTGTGATGCATCCACCTTTGGAAGCCTTGCAGGTCGTGAAAAGAACGAGTGGGCGAGTGGATCAAATCTGCAGCATTCGATAAACATCGAAGTGATGACCAGCTCTGGTGATCATCGGGGACCCTAGTGGTGAAAAGTGGTGCGCGGAGTATACACCTGCTACGCAAGCCCAGGTGCTGGTTTGTAGTTCCAGGACATGTTCAACGACACGTCACATGGATCTCTGCTTCACCTCAGACTAGACCTGCCAACTATGTTAACCCGTGGAGGTCTTCATTATCTGCATGATCTTCCTGATCACTGGATCTCCAAAACAATCAACTCGAAAACAGCAGCAATCGCCGACACTGAAGAGCAGTCGGAGATCACAGTGTGTCTTGGAATCAGAACATCAGGCAAGAAGGGTTCTGTGTAGTGGAACGAAAAACAACAAACCTTCTCAGTCGGGAACCTGACAAAGCTTCTCAGGTTCCCTCAACAAACCTCAAGAACATCGGACACAACAAGAGACACACCTTTTCGTAACGATCCACACTAGCGAAATAGATTAACACATCCAAGCAAACAACCACAAAGTTCTGATGGTGTGGCAAACACTCACACACACGTACACACACACACCTAGATAAATGTTTTTTCGATATCATAATCCACGAAGAAATGAACGAACGCTGCAACGGAATGGTGGCTGAGTCCGTGGAAACTGAATGTTGGAACAGTGGCGGTTTCACTTGAATCGTAGCGGCCGGCAATGGTCACCTGTGATTCCTTTGCAACCAAGAAGCATGACCAGCTTCCATGGTTAACTTGCCGACGGTCATAATCATAGTAGCTCGTATTCCACCTCCTGTAAAGGCTCGTGATCTGCATACCAGGGGACAAGAATGCTTCCATGACACTTGCCCAAGAGTTGCTTTTGCTCGGGGACCATATCACATATTTATCCTGGTTGGCAAGAAATGAACAAACTCAACAACAAAACCAGACTACCGTGCTCTGGCAGCCAAAGTTAAAACCACAAGGCATCACCATCTTCTTTTCGTGACACACACACTAATCTATGTGTGAACGGTTCTGAGTGCAGCTTGGATGAGCCACCCAAAAAACTCAGTCTGAGGTATACGTTATCGAAGTTTCACATCCATCTGGTCTTTGCGCAGAATGGAAGCTGGGTACAATTTCAATAGCTCACACACCACAACTGGAATGTTCTGCACCAACCTGGGCACAGCTGAGACTAAAATGAACATTAAAAAAACGAGTTTGTGCAAGAACAGTAGTTTCCCCTTCAACCATCTACAAACCAATGGTGTTCCCAGTTAGAAAAATTGAGAAGGGACTGCTGTGGGTTGCAGAAATCAGGGTTCAAATGATTAATCTAGATTAATCTTCTTACATAGTTGATGCAAGGCATGTGAACAAAAACAAACTTCAGTAAGGCAGCTCGCGTGCGCTCCCCTTTTAACATCAGGTCAGCAACATATACATTCAATTGGCTAATGCCTTCTTCAGGAGCGCGTCGATGTAGGTCAAGTTGTCCAGACATTCAGGGCATTCGTTCAGGTGTTCCAGGAGTAGCTCCTGCGCACGATGAGGATGATGTGAGGAAGATGAGGATGAAGATGAAGCACCTGCAGCCACAGACTGAGAACGGGAGCGCGTTTTCTGAGGGACACCACCTTGGACACAGCACCAGAACCATGTTCATCATCATGGCCAAGACATCGTGTTAGGGTTGGAAGCTGCTGCAGGTTCACCCACTCGGACACGGCGCCAGAACCTTGCAAGGTGCTTTCACTGTCAGGTCGAGAGCCCACCGGAGGTTCACGAGGAATGTCAGGCAAAGCCTAGCTGTTGGGAGATGGAGACTGACCGCGGCATCTTTTCCGTTCACTTTTCAAACGCCATGCATCGTTGGCCATGGCAGTCCACTGGCCCTGAGACCCAACATTCAAAGACATGCGGCGCTGCATCTCAATGACCCGAGAGGGTTGTCTCTTCAAGAACTGGAGTGTGCCAGGCTGCTTCTTGACTGCAATGAAGCTGTGTTGCTGCTCAGAGAACTTGGATGATGATGGAAGTGGATTGCCATCTTAAACCTCATGGGCAGAAGGTGGTGGCACACAAGTGCGTCCAGAGCTTGGTAGGCGTGGCTGGATCTCTCGGCGGTAAGGCTCTCCACCGAAGAGAGGGCGGCCAATCTCAGTCATGATCCTTGGAACTCTCTGCTAGGTTTCCAAGCACATGGCCACAAGATCATGAGACCACTGTCTCTTGAACATCCAATCACGGTGGAACCTTGTCACCCTCCTTCATGCAGCGAATGCCTCCTTGCCCTCCACTGAAATTTAAGTCCTTCATTGGAATCTTATGCTCATCTTCTGGGTAGTGCGCAAGAGACACAGGGCCTTCACCAATGCCAGCTGGCCTCATGTATATGGCATGCTCCAAGTTGACGACGAAGTGGGCACGCTTCAGGCAAGCAAGGATGTCTTGCTTCTCGGCCTTCTCTGGAAAAGCAGGCGCAATGAGATCCACGAATGTGGTGAAGGGAATGGTTGCGTCGCCATGCTTCGGCTTGTCCTCGGCTTTGCCACTGACTCTGTTGTCACAAACAAGTCTGAGCTCGTTCTTCACAAATTTTGTGGTAGTCCACCTTTCGACCGCATAGGCTTCTTCAAGAGAGCTATCGAGAAAAGCCTTCAGTTTGGGTAATGCCTGTTGACTTGTATCGGCATCGTCCAAGATATCTGGCCTCTCGCGGGTGCCAGGTTCTCCTCGAAGCTGATCAAAGCTACTGGTCAAACGAAAGCTTGGTTGTTTGTCTTCCTTGTCTTCACTTCGAAGCAGTCAATATTCAGAGAAAGCCATTGCAATTGCTGAAGCAGCTGGGGTCTTTCCGGCTCCAGCGTTATACCCAGGAAGACAAGGGTCTTGCTCTTCATGTCACCAAGAAGTGGAAGGAGGATGTCCTTGAGAAACCAAGCGCTGAGATCGTGAATGGTGAGGAAGAAGTTCTTAGTAGGGCGCGCAAAGACATTCGCACTGGCATCGCCCTTCAAAGATTCCTTAACCAAGCCCGCGGACCATCCGTAGATGGGACTGTCTTCCCGATTCACTTCAATTTCTGCACCACGGAGATTGTTCATATTACTCTTGGGACCATCGGATTTGATGTACGCAAAGCCTTTCTCTAAGGAAGACTTTTCCTTGTTCTTTGTAGGCTTCGGTGTGAAGTGGAAAGCAAGAATGGCAAAGTGACCCGCTCGTTCCAATACATATTGGAAGGCTGCGGAACCTGCACGAAAGTTCTTGCCGTAGTCCACTAGGAACAAGTCACCAGAAGAAATTGCTTCAAGCAGACGGACATCTACCTTCTGTGCAAAGCGAAAGTGCTTGATGACGTCGTACTTGTTCTCAGAAACCTTCCGGAAGATCAACTGAAGTGTGAAGGGCAAGGGCAAGTCACCTTTGACTGCCAGAGGCTCCGGCAGACGTCGGTATTCCTGGTCTCGCACCATGGCCGTGATGGATTCCATCTGCTCTTGGTTTTCGAGATGAAAGACAACCTTCTCCACCGCACTCTTGATCTTAGTGCTGCCTTGAACCGGCTTCAACGGAAGATCTGCAATATCGTTTTCTGGTGTTGTCGAGCGGCTAATGACCTCAGGCAACTCATGGAGTTGGTGGAAGGCGACGATGTGACATGCGTGGTTCCAGGCATCCGACATGACGTTGAAGCAAGGAAAGCAGACGAGGAAAGCTAATAGGAGCAACGAGCCAAATCCTGCAGATGAGCAGCAGATGAAGGTTTGAGAGTGGAGCAGACATGTAGGGTTCTTGAGGAAGACTACTTCAGATTAATCCTGGATGACAAAGCGAAGAAACCAAAAAAACAAACAAAGATTCCATACTAGTCTAATCTTCAACATAGTTCTGAAATCTTTTTTTGTTTGGTTTCTTGGGATTGCATAGTTCTGAAATGATTGTTTTTTTATTTCTTGGGATTGGACTAGTCTAGGAATGTGTTTTTTTTTTTGGGGGGGTTGGGTTCTGTTTGATGTCTTTTTTCAGATGATGGCAAGGAGCATTGCAGGCAAGATGGGTTGCGGGTTACGCAAGTCAATGAAGGGGCCCAAAATCTGCAACCCGCAACAGTCCTTTGTGAAAAAGCTACACCGGTGTAGACCCCAGATAGCAAAAACAAACAAAAATTTCTGGACTGCACCCTGCATTGGCATTGCAGCAGCTCCAAAGCACACACAGTAACATTTTTACACTGGATAAATGGCAATGTTCTGGCTGTTTGGAGGAAAAGGGTGCAAAGAACGCGTGCCATCTATGGGATGCTGTGCGGGAGGAACGTCCAAAAGCAACGTCACTTAGAATGATTGGCTACCAAAAGCCTGCTAGCATGCGTGACGCACTTTCAAAAAGGAGCATACCTTCGACGTCCGCTTCCAAAACAACACTTTGTCAAACTCTACAGTTACATCATCTTCAGGCACTAAGGAATACGGATGTTCACGCAAAGCTCCATCAACCACGTGAGAGGGTGAGCAACCATGTTGGCTCCAAAAGTCAACTGCCCCGCAGTTTGCCAGCTTTCCAATCACCCTGTCTCCACCATGCGCACAGCCAGCACCAGCACCTTGTTACCACCACGCGCACTGCCAGCTCACAGCACCAGCACCGGCACCCTGTTTCCACCACGCGCACAGCCAGCTCACAGCGCCCAGCACCGGCACCCAGCGCAGGCACAGGGCCAGCTCACAGCACCCAGCACCAGCACCACAGCCAGCAATGCCTCCACCATGCGCACAGCCAGCCAGCTCACAGCACCGGCACCAGCGCCACAGCCAGCGCCACCCAGCACCGGCACCATGTCTCCACTATGCGCACACCCAGCTCATTGTTACTTGAAGCAAGAACATGTAAGAACCCCATAGCTGTTGCTATCTGCGTAAAAAACAAAACACTGGGGTCTTTCGAACATGGATTGGGGCGGAAGCCGATCTCCGCGTCGAGTGACCCATGTCCTCCTTGGCGTCCAGCAGTGGAGTTGCGAATCAGAATCTCCTGAAGCCAGCGCTCCCTCTCATGGGATGGTGAAGAGCATGACGCTCGGCTTGGCCAGCGACCGACCGAGGAGCATGCGCATGCCTATGTATGAATCATAGACCTTCTCGCCATGTGATACATCGGCTTAAGCCTTTTTCCAATGGATACAAGTAGGAGCTATCGCTGGGATTTGAGTCTCCACCAGCTGCGCTCCTCAGACTAACCGTTTTCGTTTCACACCCAAATGCGGATGGCTTGTCCCTGAATTACAATACTCAACAACCTCACCCCAGGAGCCGATTACGGTGATGGAAATCAATGTTAGCCTCTTTCGTAGAGGACCATGCGTGCACTGTGTTAGGTTCATCCCTTCAATTGCTCTATAATCAAACGTCAAAAAACCGCCCAAGTGGGAGCCCAGCAGTACCCTCAGCATCCAAGCTACTCCCCCCGCCGCTTGTCCCAGTCCACCATGCATGTATATTCCTCCTGGCGAATCGCCGAGGGCGAATTTGGGTCCGTTGAATCGCCAAAGCTGAGTGAGGATTGCCACTGTGAGGTGCAGGATTGTTGCTGGTTTCAAGACACTCTCACCCCTGCAGACCCGAAAGCTCCTCCTTGTGCATATAACTTACTGATGTTTGTCTCTCTGGCGATCGTGTCTTCAACGGACAAGAGCCCCTTGTACTGAAGGAACCCTCAGCCGCGACAGAAGCATCTTCAGTATCTCCAAGCCATCTCATGTCGTTTTGGATACAATACTTCTTGGAAAATTAGCGTTGACGGTAATTCGGCCGGTCAAATACCCGGGCGCTGGCTCTCAGCCAAATGGTGCTGGTTCTCAGCCAAATGGTGCTGCAGCTAACATTATGAATCACGATTTGCATCCAGTCAGACTTCTTGAAGAAAATGAACCGAACTTCTGGACTCCGCCTGTGTACGATGTGTCACCCTGCCTCTGTGCACAATGGAAGTGAGGAACTTCAGGAAGCAACGAGCAACTTGCTTGGTGCTTGATGTTTTGAACTTGAGAGTATGTTCTCAAATCATGGAACACCCCAAAACTTCGAGTCGCCCTTGGTTTTTTCGTGGAGATGTTTCCAAGTCGCAAGAGCATCGAATGCCCCCGCCCAAGGCGGCCGAGGAATTGGCCACGGCAATGCCTTGTGTTTTGGTTCGAAGCCGGGGGGATCATCGGCTTCACGGATGTGAAGAAAGGGTGTATGATGGTGTATGGGTCTGGAGTCTGAAGTGGCCCGCTGTGTGGACCCGCAAAAAGAATGCCTGGCAAAAGGAATAAGGTGTATATATATTTTTAGAATGATTGATCGGGAAAGGTCTACTTTTATTTGTCCCTGCTGAAACCGTGGAAAGCGACACATTTGTGAATATGCTCAGGGACTTGAGGTGTCCTACTATTTTTCTCTGAGCCTGAGCCTGAGAAACACTTGAGGCCTGAACCCCAAACACAAAGCATCTCATCCGACGCCAGCAAACTGGCCTGCGAACTGGGCGAATTGTTTGTTTGGTGTAGTCGTGTAGCCCTATATACCTGCCATCGACCTTTTTGTAAGCATATATACATTAGTTTTCTGGTTCAAATCAACGTAACATGCCACCACCATTCACATTTCAACGCTTTTCAAGCTAGCAACATGTCCGGACCAACCGCTATTTTTGGCGAACTACAAAGCAGCCAAACGTCACTCCTTCTTGACAACAGATCTTCCAGCGAAGAGCGAAACAGAATGAACCAATGGACAGTCCACAGGAGCAACGCTTATATAAACCTTATGATGCAATAGAAATCATCTGGCTCAACCGATTTTGGCCATCATGTACTGGCAATGCCACATACCTTCAAAGTGCTCTTCTGGTCTTCAATGTCTTTGTGTGGTTGTCTCCCGAATGTGGAGGGTGAAACGGCATCTATATTATATCCGCCAACCCCGTTCTAGGACCAAGAACGTGAGCGTGAGCGGAACGTGGCCGGCGTGCTCGTGAGGATAAGCTCGGTATACCGGGATAAATATGTCTCACATGCCCAAAAGCCCTGGTATGGATCGTTCCACACTGCCATGACAGTGATCCATACTGCATGGATCAAGGCTCAGATCCAAACCCTATGGATCACACGATTTGCTCCCTTGGTTTTGTTCGCCTTTGTCATGCCATGTGTCTAGTGCACACCCCATGTCACAAGGATGCATGGAATGCCCAGGCAAGGAAAGTCAGGTGACAATTTCAATTTACTGGCTTCCGGTAAACCTTTTTGTTGGGCTCACGCACTTCCAGTTTCTTGGGCCCACCAAGAGTTGACAGGCAGCTGGATTGAGTTCACCACTCATTTTTCGGCTATCAGCAGTTGTCCAATTAGTGGATTCCGGTAAGTTGAAAGCGCGCGCCCTAGAACCATGGGAGACAACACCCTGGCCGAACCCAAGCGCAAGCCATTTCGTGGAGCCAGCCCACCAGTCGATCCTGCGACATTAGTGGCTTCAGCTAATTGTTTTTTGTTCTTTCTCTCTTGGCTTGGGTTGGGCTTCAGAGGCCGCCCTCCATGCGGGAAATGGCTTTCGCCCCAGCGTTTTCGAACTCTGCGGTGGTTCAATTCCCCCGCGCCGCGCCGCGCCACCCCAGCTTCGGGCATTCGGGCGGCGCGCGCGGGACCGAGTACGGTGAAAGCATGGACTTCCTGTTCATTGATCGTTCAATCTCTCTCCTCCTGTCCTGCTCCTGTCTCCTGTCCTCCCATGTCTCCTCTCCTCCTGTCCTGCTCCTCCTCTCCTCCTGTCCTTCTCTGCTCGTGCCTCCTCCTCTCTTCCTGCCTCCTCTCCTCTTTTTTTGGTGGACCTTCAGAGGCGTCGAGCTCCTTGAGATCTGGAAATGGCATGGATAGGTCAAGTCTACATAGGCGTTGTGGTATATTTGCAAATCCTGGCAAGCAACGTCAAAAAAATGGGGGATGAGAAAACGACAAGCTTGAGTCAATTCCCAAGCAATGCTCTGGGGTCGGCCGCCTTGGTGGCCAAAGGTCCAGGCTGAAGGCCGAAGGCCTCTACCTTTAGGTAGTATAGGGGGCGCGCCCCTAGCCGCGGGCTCAGCTCACCCGGGCTGGATCCTCGCAGGCCACTGGGGAGAGCGCTTACCCACCCACCCAACCAACCAACATCAACCAACCAACAACCAACAACAACCAACAACCAACCACCAACCAACCAACAACCAACCAACAACAACCAACAGCAAAGGTGGGTGGTTGGAAGGAGGTCTAGAGGGACCGAAACCACTGTGATCAACACTTAACATCAAAACACGGGCGGCGATCGAACGGTCGGCGACTCAGTCAATCTCGTACCCCCGACCCAACGCCCCCCACAAGTGAAGTCCTGGCTGACCGCACCATTTTCATACGGGTCAGTGCAGCCATCCGCACTTGTCGGCTAAGGCTGCATACAGCCCTCGAGGCATGCGTGCCAGGCAGCGCTGGCAGAAGGAGCTGCGTCCCACCAGGCCAAATCCTTCGCCTTGGCTCTTTGGGTCCTGGATGAACGGGGCATCACGGCAGTAGGGAACTTGCCGATTCTCCACCATGCCGCTGACGATGTGGGCCCGCCGGCTCTGCACGAACCATCTCGCTTCTGCCTCCGCACTAGCCTCGGCCAACACGCCTTCCAAGTCACTGCCCATGGCTGAACAGTCTGATGCTGAGGAGGAGGTCGTAGACGATGAAACGGACTGGACGTCATCATCCTCCTTGGGCTCGGGCGGTGTGGCGTTGTCCATCTCCTCGTCCTTCACTTGGTCGGCCTCCGCTGCTACCTGCGAGGCTGCAGCCGCCGCAGCGCCTTCAGGCGAAGGGGACCACCCAGGATCCTGTGCCAAGGCTGCCTCCAGCGGGCCGAAGCTCTCATTCATCTGGGCCAGCTCCTGCCAGGTCCAGGCGTCACGGGCCACGAGACCCTGGGCATTGAGAGCTAACTCTGGGAGTTGCGGCGCAGCAAGTGCAGGAACCTCTGGATCAGGGCGCGTTTGACAGCTGCCGAGTGAATCGCTCGTTGACCTGCATAACGCACGCCCATAGACCATGTAGCCTTGCTCTTCCGCACTGGCTGGGGTCCTCCTGCACCCGGAATCTCCTGCCAGTTGCCCACGGCTTGTTGGTTAGATGGCTGCAAGCCACACACCAACCCCATGGTCGGCAAGAACCGACGTAGTCGATTGTACCCTGCACTGCGGGCCTGGGCATGGTCAACATTCATAGTGAGGAGGGCACCACGTAGCAACTCCAAATACCTGCCCCTGGACATCTTGCGGTCAATGAGCCAGGCCGTATTTTCCGTGACCTCCCAGAGGTCATCAGCGCTCAGTTGCAACGAGGGCCACAGGAAATTCCGTGCCGGGTCCAGCTCAACAGTCACGAAGTCCCGCACGATACGCTGCAAGCTGAGGCCTTGAAACTCAAGCTCAGGCATGGCCCAGGCATAGGGCGGACGCGCTCCTTTGCGCCGGGCTTTGCCTTGTGAGCACTCAAAGATCAAACATTGTGGGCCTCAATGTAATGTGACCTTTGAAAATGTTCAAAGCGCACGCAAGATACTGCGGCCCACACCAAAAATGTCAAAATCAACAGGTGCGTACCGGAGGACTGCTTCATCATCAAAAGGAGATTCACCACCTCCCATGGCTGCAATTCCGTCCTCTGCTGCACCTGATGATCAGGGGGCAACAACCGAAACGGCTGGGTCAACCAATGATCCGTGTTGAAGGGGAGGCCAAAGTTCAGGCGAAACCACTTGAGGGCCTGATACATGGATGATGCTGCTGTTGGGCCACCCTGGGCCACCATGCGCAAGAACTCACCCAGTTGAAGCGGCGTGGGTGCATTGACTGTATATTGCTTGCTGGCTGCGTAGCGTAGCCACCGTCTCAAAGCTGCCAGCAATGCGTCACCTGGTCCTTGAGCTGTTGGAGCCGCGCCGGGTCTCCAAGGTCAGCCCAGGTGACCCCCAATTCCTCCAGGTTGAGGAAATTGGTCACCAAAACATCAAATAGGGCCTGCGTCTTCGTGGCCTTCTTTGCCACCTCTTTGGTGTGTGGGTCCGATGCCGCGGCCGAATGCAGCATCGGTGGCCGCCCTGGGATCCCGGTCGCCAGGAGCTGCCGTACCCGGCCTTTGGGGCCTTCCTCGGACGGCGGGGCCACCACCGAATGGGTCTCCACCACAGAGCGCCTATTGCCCACCACGGCCTGCAAGACCCGTCGGTGATGATCATTGGCTCGACGATGTGCCAATGTCCATAGGGCGCTGACCTGAAAGGCCTCCTCCGAGCCTAGGGCCCTTTGCCTGGCCTCCAGCTCTTCCACCAAAGCGCCTCCATTGTCCCAAATGCCCACCACGTCCTGGCAGGTTTGTACACCATTGTGACAAAACAATGATACCAGGGCATCGGAGTGGTCAGCGACCAATTCCAAAAGCTCTGCCTCCATGGCCTGCGGTGCCGAATGGCCATCACCTGACGCCGCACCCCGGCAGGCGAACGAGATGGCGACCGTGGGCTTCGGCGATCTGGAGGCGGGCCTGCAGGGACAGGGCCGGCAGCCGCACTACCCTGTCGAACTGGGGGCGGATCTACCGGAGGCTGCTTGGGGGGAGCTGGACAACTGCTCAATGATGAGCTCCCTGGTCCGCTCGACGGACAATCCGAAGACCTCTGCGACCTCCTCAATGGGGACCTGGCCGGTGGCATCTTGGAAATGGGGTGGATTGGACCTGTCACCCCACCCGGAGATCTCGACCTGCTCTTCGGTGTCGTGCCCTCCTTGGTCGAGGTACGCGGCATGGCCCATGATGCCACGTGACACCGCGAAATAACCGGCACTGGTCACAGACTAGCTCTAGCCGATCGCAGGCGGTGCACACCGCACCGAAGGAGTCGGGCTGCCGAGCGTAGCAGCCCTCACACCACGAGGCCGTGTAGTCCCCACAGCACCGGCAGTGATCTGCTTCAATGTCAGGCCGGCGCTCAATAGCCCACACGGCCAATATATAGGCTGACCTCGCGCCAAGGTCAGCTCGTCGCTCTGGCGACAGATTGGAGGGGTCCGATCCCCTATGCGCGCGGCGCCAACGTCGAGCCCCGGGGTTCCAAACCGCCGGAGTCGACCGCGTGATGCGCGGCATGGCGGAAAAAGACTTCCCTCCCGATCTTGAGCCAAAATGGCATCAAGATCAGGAGTAACCCCTACATGTTTCAAATCCAAAAATGTCCCTACCCAACCAGCCATTCATTTTGGGGAGATAACAACCAACAACAACCAACAACCACCACCACCACCACAACAACAACAACAACTGCTGGTGCTGCTGGCGCTGCTGCTGCTGCTGCTGCTGCCACCACCGTACCAACATCTATACCTACCGCCTTCCAACGCAATCCTTACATATCCTCTGCTCCTACGGGCCTGCTGGCCCGCTGGTGGGCGTCAGCCCCTGAAATCCGGCGACGCCGTGCCATTCAGTCTATCGCTTGCTATATATGGAGACGTGCTCCATGCCGGCGACCCGCACTTCTAGCATCACCAGGGCTCATGTGGGAGTTGTTCAAAATTCCTCTCATTTTTCCCAGGCCTTTCGCAGGACCTTCGCGAAGCTTTCTCAAGCTTTCGCGCGTGGGGCTTTGCCACTGTCGGCGAAAATTGATTTTCGTTGGGGCTATCCATGATCAAGAGACTGCTCAGGCCAGTTTGCTCACTTTGTGCTGGTTGGTGGTTTGTGGTTTTTGTGTTTAAAGAAAGCATCACTTCAACTGTAAAGTACACAGATTTCATATGTATTTTTATCCTACTCTCAAAAGGCAGTTTGGACTAGTGATATGATACCCTTGCTCTGAAGCCTCAGGTCCTGACACTACAAAAAGCAACTTGGTTCAGACTTCCAATTTGCTTTTTCCCGGGCCTGGAAGAAGCAATTTGGCTGGAAGCAAACAAGCAGACTTAGTAGCCTGTGGCCAAATTGCAAGGCCACAAGGGACAAGGACAAGTAGACCACGCAATCCAAAGGGCTTTGGCCTATTGGATATGAGGTGCTCGACTCATAATCTGAAAGTGCTGGGCTCAAGTCTCGCCTGAGGTTGCTCTTTCCAGGCCGGGGAAAAAGTACATTGGAAGCCTGAACCAATTTGCGTTTTCCAGAAAAGGAAATCTGAGCCAAATTGCTTTTTCCACGCCCAAATTGGAAGTCTGAGCTAAATGGCTTTTTCCAGGCCCAGGAATTGCTTTGGCAGGGTGCCCCAGGTCACCAACTTGGCTTCCGCAAACCTTTCGCCGGACCTTCGCGAACCTTTCGCGACTGACGTGGGAGCACGCTCAAAAGGAGTACACTCAAAATCAGTCTTAAAAACTCATTTGCTAATCCTGTCCACCTATTTAAAAACGCGCCGCCCTCCCTATTAAGAGAAACTCGGTCGCATTTTTTTAAATAGGTGGTCCCTGAAAATTGGGGTGTCCAAAATGGGGTCAGTGGAAGGATCGCGTTACTTTGTGGGCCTTGAAGCGCAGATTTCGTAGCAGGCGCAGTACTTTGTTGACCTGGAAGTGCAGACTTCGTAGCAAGTGCAGCGCTTGGTGGACCTTGTGAAGGGACCTGGAAGTGCAGATTTCGTGGCCGGTGCAATACTTTGTTGACCTGGAAGTACGGATTTCGTAGCAAGTGCAGCACTTCGTGGACCTTGAGGTGACCTGGAAGTGCAGATTTCGTGGCAGGTGCAGTACTTGGTGCAGCACTTGGTGGAGCCAGGCGCCAGGCAGACTAAGCAGCTAGAGAGGCAGGGCAGGTTGATATCCTCTAAGACCACCTTTGGTATAGCCATTGTTAAAATTTATACTTTATACGCATATAATTAACCGCAGCATGTTTGTGGATTGGGGCAAGAGGATATCAATCTGCCCAGAGCCAGACAGACAGCCAGACAGTCCGTTTGACAGCAGAAACGAAAAGCAGACAGGCAGGGGAGGCCTATTTTGAAGGAGTTTTGGGGGAACCTAATACAAAAAACTACCTCCAAAATCGACCGTGTTGGTAGTTTAGTAGCGGTTTGAAAAAGGGCAGTAATTTAAAACAAATATAAACTGTACTTTGGGTTTCGGACGTGGTGTTCTTTAATTGGCGAGGCTTTTTCCCCAAACAGTGTGGACACACTAGGGGTTCTTACTGAAAGGGAAAGCTGATGCTTAGATCGCTGAAGCACGCGGCCGTGACCGGCTAATTCGCTGCTATTTACCCATCTCACTCTCACTCTCACTCACATTCACTCACTCTCACTCACACTCACTCACTCTCACTCACACCCTCACTCATACACGCGCACTCGCACTCACTCTCACACTCACTCACTCTCACTCGCACCCTCACTCATACACGCACACTCACACTCACTCTCACTCTCACACTCACTCACACACTCTCTCCCACCCTCACTCACACTCACACTCCCTCACTCTCTCCCACTCTCACTCACGCTCACACTCCTCACTCACACTCACTCTCATCCACACTCACTCTCACTCTCACTCACGCACTCACTCACGCTCACACTCACACTCACACTCACTCTCCCTCTCACTCACACTCACTCACCGCCACGGCCACCGTCACCACGATCCCCACCTTCACCTCTCTGGGCCCCAATGCGTCTAGATCTCTAGACTTTCTGCTAATAGACCTCACACAAACACTGTTTGGGATCTCTTGCCGGATAATTAGTCGGGATTCAAAGTGGAGGTGGGTTTTTGAACGACGCTCATGCGGCTCCATCACAAAACGGCAAAAATAGATGAACAGATCAAACATGGCTACTGTAGAGCTTGTCGCTGCAAAACGTCTAGAAAATCAAGCGTTGAACATAGTGACAAATTTTGAAGACAAGTTTTGGTAACCCTTTGGTGCATGACTAGGCGCAAAACACTGTAAATTTATGTTTTTTTGCAAAATGTATGTAGTTTATGAACAATTGCTGCTCGTACTCTGGTGATGCCAATGGTGCTTGACACAAATGCTACCGCAAAACTTCCTCTCTCCTTTGTATACTTTCTTCTCTAGAGATAAAGCTTTACCGTAGCCATTTTTGATCATGTTCCACATTGTCGGTTTGCGGCCGACATTTCTAGCACCAGCTGGGCTTATGTGGCTTCTTCAACTATGAGGACTTTGTAGTGGAAAATGCTGAAAGACACTATAAAAACTTTTGCGCTAGCCTAAAGCTACCTGCGTTGACGCAAAGGTGGCTCGTGCGTGCGTGCGTGCGTGCGGGCGCGGGCGGGCGGGCGGCGGGCGTGTGCGCGAGTGCGTGTGCGTTCGTGTGCGCGCGGGTGCGCGTGCGGGTGCGTGTGCGGGTGCGCGTGTCTCAAGCTGAGGTTGCCAGGCTGTTTACATCAGACCCTCGTGCGTACACCTGGGTGGGAGTGTGCATGTATGCGCAGGCGTCAGAAACTGCGCAAGAGCCTACGGATACGCGCAGTCCCCCCAAGCGCATCGCCGGTTGGCGAAGTGTCAATATATTTATGTATATAGTGGACAGCCTTACCCAGGAGCCCGCGCAAAAGGCAATTTTGCACAAAGACTGCGAGGGGCTCCTCGAAGTGACTTCTTAAAACAACGTCAAAAAGAGCGGCTGCTACATAGAAATTGAATTAATTGGACAGGTCCTTCACAGGTTTATAAACAAAAAGGGCGGAGAAGGATAATTACTGTACTTCTTGCGGGGTCCGTGGCATGGCCTTCTTTTTCAAGAAGACTCTTCACACTTGCATCTTCAGCCTGGGGGTGTTAACAAAAGCGAGTAGCAGCTCATCTTCACCATTCTTCAGTCACGAACGGCTCCACTCCCCGGGCCCATTGGCTCGACAGGCCCAGTTGCGACCATCCAACTGTTTGAATATGCCTTGCACAAACACAGCGCCGCCAGTGTGCATTGCTGAGGCCTCCTGCTATGCGACCAGGCTTCCCGAGATCGGTTTCTCAACCAGATTACTTTGACATGCCAGTCATTCCCACATGGCCAAACAAATTATTTCCCTGGTCTACAACGAACAAGGTCTCTACTGCAGCGTCTCTCTGCGACAGTGCGCCACCCTTCTGTCCTTCAGATCGAGATTTCCACTCGCAACTACCATGCTTATTGCAAAAATGCAACCGCCGCGAGTATGGGCAAAGCACTTTTCCATATACACATCCTCAGCGGCACATGCGTGAGAAGCATTGTCAAGATTTATGCTTCCGCCAATTTGAATGGGCATGGGATTCTATGCGACGAAGCATTTGGTGACCCGTGCTCCGTGAAGAGGCAACAAATCCGCAAAGAAATTCAGCAAAACATTGATCAGGACATTAAACCATCACAGAATCTTACAAAACATGGTGGGTTTTCCTCCCTCTCCGCCGGTCATAAGCCGGCCAAGGGCGTCACCCCTCCGATTTTTCTGCAAAGCAACCCCTTTGCTCATGATCATTTTGTGGGTGAGAGCAATGCCGCCCCCTTCAAAGGCCCTGGACCTCCTGCGCCGAAGAGATCGGTTCCGAACCACGCCGTCGGCAAGATCGATTTTACATGTAAAAATGAATGCGTTGCATCCTAAAACCTAATTGCCTAATAGGACTGGCCTCTAACATCCTCCAACCTATTAGCGATGGCCTCCTACATAATAGCGTTAAAAATGACTGTCGTGCGTCTGGGTTGGACATCTGTGCTGCGACAGGACAAAAAAGATAAGACCCCATGGTGCAAGCTTTGAATCAAACCATTGGGTGTCTCGGCCAATCAACTGCAGAATCCAAAGGTCCTGATCTGATGTATATATCCTCATCTGTTTCAATCCGGCATGCCATAAGGTCAGTGACTTTCAAGTCTGCGCCGAACTATGGACAAAAAACATGAACATCCCAAATTTCCACGGCTGGAACCTCTGGAGCCAAGCTGGTGGTTCCTCCTTTGGGCGCAAATTGATCGGGCGGATTGGGGGTCGATCTGCTCCTGATCTCCATGCGCCCTTCAACTTCCAGGGTCTGCGCGCTGATCGCTCCCCCTGCCAACGGGCGGTTTGCGGGCGAACACGAACGACACGGTCCCCACTGAGTTGGGTCCTTTGGACACCGCCGAACACACCGACGTCGTCGTCTGGGTGTGGCATTGTGAGCTGGCGGCCTACACTTTACTCTTGAAAACGTTCCGTGAAAGCTTAAAGTTCAAGAGCACCGAAGAAAGCAGATCAAAACTAGAAAATCACAGATCAAAGTTGGAGTTCGAAGACTCTCTTGCGAAAACTTGATAGCAGAACGCACGCACACAAAAGAAAACAAAACAAACACACACTGATAGCAGAAAACCAAAAACACAGATTCAGAACATAGAACAAACACAAACTGAACACACTTAGATTGATGCTCGCAAGAGCTAAATACGTTAAGGCAATCCACTCTAGTGATTACAGTACCAATCTAGAGCGCTGAAACCTGAACCTGCAATGGCCCTGTGCGAACAGCAAGGTGAAGGGTCCTGTGCAAACAGCAAGGTGAAGGGGTCGGAAACAATACTGTTTACATCATCTGATCAAGAAGCTGCAAGTATGTTCGGATGATCAGTCCGAATATCCCACTCTGTGACCTAGCTCCGTTGAACTGGGTCAGTCACAGAGTGCCCAGTTCCCCTGCCTGCGGGTTGGAAATTTTGCCAGTAACTGAATCAACTTGCGTGGAGTGGTGTCCTTTGGTACAGGTGTGGACACACCCCTGCACCCCTTGCACCTTTCCTTTCTTTCCTTGCCCTTTTCGTTTGCCTTGTTCTTTCTTTCAGGCTTGTTAGGTTGGCATCCAGGCTCGTTTATGCACTCCCACACCCTCTTTCTCCCCCTTTCCCCGCGGACAAAAAGGAGCGAGCGCCGATCTCCAGCTCCGTGTGTGTGTGTAACCCTTGGAATCAAAGGGAACCTTAAGGTTTGGAACAGGGGGACGGGACACCTCTGGCATTTCCCGTCCAACGAAGAGGACGCCAGCAGGTGCTGATGCAGTGAGGGACGCCCCACTGTGTACCTGTTCCACTACTTAGGAGAACAGGAGGAAATGGTACTCGACACACTTGTGCGTCGGTGCCTTTCCTTCTGTTCTCCTCTAGACTACCCTATAGGTTGCAGGCAGGCCTCCAAACTTTGTAAGGGGTTCTTTAACCTGAACTTTGGCCTCCACCCACTAGAATGGACCCCCAACTTTTGCTGTCTTGTTTGTCTTGCGCTTCTTGTCACCTACTAGCGACGGCCCCCAACCTGCCTTCGACGGCCTCCAACCTAAGAGCGAAGACCTCCAACTTTGACCGCTTTGCTGTCTTGTGGTTTCTTGTCTCCAACCTACTAGCGATGGCCCCTCAACCTGCCTTCGACGGCCTCCAACCTAAGAGCAAAGACCTCCAACCTTGACTGCTTTGCTGTCTTGTACCTCTAAGACCAGATTAGACTATTTCCTAACTAATAGTTGGAACAGCTTTTCTAGATTATTTTCTAACTATTAGTCTATTTCAAATAGACTTGAATTTAGACTGAAAAAAAGTCTATTTTGAAACATAACCTTGAGGTTATTCTATAGAATAACATCAGGAAATACAAATTATATACCAAAACTTGTGGTGTTATTTTGTGAAAAACAAACGTGCGTGTTACTTATTATAGGCCATGTACTGTTACTGAGGCCATGTGCATGTTCTGAGTTGTGTTGGTGAATTGCATTTGCATCGGACAACCTCTTGTATTTTCTTGTCTTAGACAAGTCCCTCTTTGCTGCTACTGTTGCGTCGCCTTTACCACTTTCACCCGCATCATCTGATTCTGGCTCATCACCTTTGTGGTCTTCCTTCAGCTTCCACTTCTGCACTTTGTCTGAAAAGCTTTCCTTTTCATGCTTTTTTGGAACTGCTTTGGGCTTACTCTTGGCTTTGCCTTCTGTTCCTTCTCCTTCTTCTTCTCTATGGTTGGCTTCGCCTTTGGCTGTGGTGCTTTTGCCTTGCTTTTTGCATGAGGCTTGACTGATACTGCTGGCCTTTTCATGGGTGTCGTAGGTGCCAAAGCCTGCCGTGCACTTTTGGCAGGGGTAGCTGCTTCTTCTGTAGCTGCTTCCCTCTTGTTTGGTGAAGCCGTGGCTGGTCACCAAGTGCTACTTAGACCCCCACTGAATGCTACCTAGATTCACTTTTATGTTTGAGTTGTTCTATGTCACGTTTTGTCTTTCGTTGCGTCGGTTTGTTTTGTGTCCTTTACTTTGTGCTGCTTATTTTTACATATTTTTACTGTCATATGCACAAGAACACTTTGTTGCAACAAAGCAACTCTGGAGCCACAAAAGACAACACAACAAACATAATACAAGTTGCCAAATGCTTCAAGATAGATAACCACAGTGGACTCATACTACTGTGCCATTTCAACTAACCTACACGAACTTAACAAACAAAATCACAAAAGACGTAAGCAAAACATGAAACATATTATAACACTGACATAAAAGTACTGAACACTGACACAGAAGTGTCACAAAAGAGACACAAAAGTGACACAAAAGCGACGCAAAAGTGACACAAAACTGACACAAAACTGACACAAAAGCGACACAAAAGCGACGCAAAAGTGCCACAAAAGTGACACAAAAGTGACACAAAAGCGACGCAAAAGTGACACAAAACTGACACAAAAGCGGCACAAAAGCGACAAAAGTGAGGCACACACACAAAATGTGACACAAAACCGACACAAAAGCGACACGAAAGTGACACAAAAGCGACACAAAAGCGACACAAAAGTGACACAAAAGCGACACAAAAGTGACACACACAAAAGTGACACAAAGCCGACACAAAAGCGACACAAAACCGACGCAAAACCGACACAAAAGCGACACAAAACCGACACAAAAGCGACACAAAAGCGACACAAAAGTGACAACTTTTACATTGCAACTGACACTTAAAGTGTCACTTTTATTTAAAACTACACTGAAAAAGTTGCAGTTTCAAAATAAAAGTGGCACTATTAGTGTCACTTTTGTGTCACTTTGGTGTCATAGTTGAATTTGACTTTTTAAAACGCAATATTTCCATATATTTATTGAGATATTGTTTGGGCTTGTATACGTAATATTGACCTATTTGGTGAAGTAAAATGCAAGGAGTACTGTCATCAGCTGTGGAGCGAGTACTGTCGAAGGAGTACTGTCATCAGCTCCGTCCAACTGCAGGTGTTCCAAAATGGTATCAACCTTCTCTTTGGAATCGAAGGTGGCCTTCCTCATTGCTGTTGCGTAAGCTTCATGGTTCTTCTTGATGCCTCTGGCTTGTGCAAGCAAAACACGAATCCTTTGATCTACCTGGTCCACAAAGTCAGCTGTATGGAAGTGTGTTTTGTTGACCATTTTTGAACAGTCTTGGATCATCCTCTGTAGTGCTAGCTTAACTTTGGCTGACCTATAGTAGCCCATTTGGTGCAATCTTCAAGAAATACACCAACATTTCATGACATTGAGCCATCCATTGAGGACAAGAACTTGTCTTCCAACTCCACTGAGCATTGGTAGGATGCTTCAAACAAGAAAACAGATCTTTGTCAGCTCCTCTGTTCATTTCCTTTGGCAGCACTCTTTGAAGGTCCATCACACCACTGGAAGGGTCCACCTTCATTCCCTTAGAGACGGCCATGTGTGCTACAGGTGCTCAAAGCAAAGAAAGGAGATGTGTGCGATGCTAGTTAGGACAAACATAGACAAAACTTGTTTCTTCATGAAACTACAACATCTACCCTTTTGTCAGTCTTGCTGATCCTCTGGAAGCTTGTGAGCCTTCCACGACACTTGACACCAAAAATACTTTGTGATGTGAGTTTGAAAGAAAATTTGCATGTTACTTAGGCCATGTACGGTTACCTAGGCCATGTTACTTAGGCTCTGCTCAATGTTACTTAGGCCACACACATTGCTCAAGTTTGTGCTTTCAAAAGTGTGACCACAAACACCTAAAACGAATTAACAAAATGTCTTTACAAGATCTCATGTTTTTCCAACATAATCTTGACATTCCAAGGTTGTTTAGCAAAATAGACTTGAGTCTATTCAACAAAATAGACTTTAAATTATCCCCTAGTTTATACTATTAGTTTATTTGAATTCTAACTATTAGTTAGAATTCTTGAAATAGACTACAAGTAGTTCCCGGGCAAGCCGGCGGCGTAAGTTTCCTATAAGAAGAAATTGACCTATAGGAGTGTCCACGTTCTCTCCACCATGCGTGTCCCTCGTGTCACTCACTGAGCCAAACGCATGCGCTCCGGACTTTTGACACACACACACACAGCGCCACCTGTGCAAGGTCTGTGCTCCCTGCAGGATCAGCGCACTGGGTTGTGTCTGCGCCAAAGCAAGATCACCAGCCCACACCGGCGTGCTGAAGCAACTGGGCATCTGCAAGCGAAAGTTAAGTGCAGCTGGCGCGGGCACGCGAAGTGGGTGGTGTTTTCAAAGTCAAAATCATGTCTTCATTGTCCAGCTTGCCAAAAACTCCGCGTACTTTACAGTTGTCCTACAAAGTCGCCAGTTCTCACTTTCCAGCTCCCCAGATACTCAGCAGCGAGAGATGACTCACCAGCGAGAGATGACTCATCCGCGTACGAAAGTTGTACTACAAAGTCGCCAGTTCTCAGCTTCTAGCTGCACAGATTGCTCCGCGTACTCAAGTTGTAGTACAAAGTCACCAGTTGCTCTCTGGCTTGCTAGCTAGCGCCTTCAAACCATGGTCAGCTACATGTACGGATCCCAAAACAAAAGCAAGTCACACCCAGTCAACCCAGTCCAACCGCTGGTTCTTTCCAAACAGTGTCCCTAGTCATGGTCAGCTATACGTACAAAATCCAAAACAAAACAAATCATATCCAGGCAACCCAATCCGACTGGACGGGTTCCAAAACAAAAACAACATGCGTGTCCCTGGCCCGTCGCACGCCCGGCAGCCCACACCGGCGTGCTGAAGCAACTGGGCATCTGCAATTGAAAGTTAAAT